TGCATCGTGATGCTCACTGTGAAATTAATACGCTTCTTAAGTGGAAGAGATTGTGTCATATATTTTACCTTTGATGGTGTCTATTCAAGGGCTGTTCAGTTTATAAACGTATATCATACTCCTCTAATACAACATTCTGTGAAATTAAGATCCAGATTTTTAAAATAATAATTATGGCTAACATTTGAGTGTTGCTACCTCCAAGCAGTGTTCTAAGTGCTTCACATGTTTTGAACCTTTCAGTTGAGTGTCAGTATATCTAAAATAACGGAATATTTTATTGGTTTAGGTTTCTGATTGATTCTAGTAGTCCCAGATTATGGCGCTGGAATAACCAAAGGAGCAATGTCGCATATTGAAAATTAGTTATGGAAAGCTTTTTATCTAGTTTTAGGGTGATTAAGCCATTATTGAGTCCGCAGAATATATGAAGATGTCAGTGTCCCTTTTAGTACAATTTAGATTTACAAACATATCTGAGTTCCTTTTTTATAAGATTTTTTTAAAAATCATATAGCAATTAAGAACACAGAGAAAAAGGCAACAGGTAAAATGATTAAGGTCATTGATTTTTCTTTTGGACTGCCTGGGTTCAGATTTCAGTTCCTTCATTTACTACAGGACATTTACAGGTCCATGATCCTGTCGAGTTACCTCACCTCTCAGCCTCAGTTCCTTCATCTGTAAAACAGGCCTACTAGCAATACCAATGTCCTGGGGCTTTTGAGAAAATTTGAGTGACATTCTCTGTAAAGTGCTTGGTACATAGCATCCGTAATTTATTGAGAACCATCATCGTCATCATTGTTTTTGTCATTAAATTGAAAGAAGCTTGAAAGTAAGTAATACAAGTTAAAGAAAAATTCCTTCTGGACACAAACTACTTTAAGTTAAAGGAAATACAAATAAAATAGCCTTAGTAAGCTATTTCTTATAGTGTAAGATATTTCTGACCAAATTATTTTAGTTAAAATATCTCAATTACATTTAAAAGTAGCCTCAGAATAAATTTTAAATTAAAGTAACTAAATATTTTGACAGTGGAACTGAGAAATAGAGCTTTGTCACATTGTAACAAGTTGTGACATCAGTCTCTAAAAAAAATAGAAAATTAATTATTAATTTTACTAAGTAGAGCTGTATTTTAATATATTAATTCCTTGGCTATTTTGGGTGTCAGCTATATCCTTTTGAAAAAGTTTCACAACCAATTAAACAGTGGATTTTAAAATAGATTTTGATTTGTGTCTAACTCTCAAATCTAATATTGCGGTGTCAATTCACGTTTCTTAAACTCTAAAAAATACAACTCTTTCATGGAAATTGTTCAAAGAACCTATTACTAAAGCTTATAACTCAGGTATTTGACTCTCAAAGAGATCCTTTGGAGAGTACATGTCAGCCCATTTTTTCTCTCACATAACATATGAAATCAAATGTTTAAAAACATTGTGCCCAGAGATGCAGAGGGATGTATTGCTAAGAATTAAGAATACTTTGGATTCCTGTGAGATCATTGCAGTCTAAAGAAGTAAACCTTGGACAGTTTTCAAAAACAACTTAAAACGTTGCAAATATTTTTGGTTTTGTTCTATCAGTTGATTTATAAACATACTGTTATATTCCCTGAATTTACATTTCTGAAACAATTGGGGTGTTTGCATTAACTAGCTATGTATATAATAATTACTGTTTATTTTTGTAAAGGTTCAGAGGTCCAAAGAGGTGACATTCTGTGGATAGCCATGGCAGGGACTCATCAGATATGGGCACTTCTACTGGACTCTGGCAAACTGCCAAAGAAAAAGTAAGTGGCATCTCACTTTGAGTAGCCTGCACTACTTGGAGCTCACAGAATTCCCTTTCCCTAAGTTACCATTCTCACAACACCCACTGTACTAGTTAGGATATGCTACCATAACAAACAACCCAGATTCTCAGTGTATTAAAACAAGGTTATATCTTGCTCACTCACATAGGTTCACTGGGAAGCACTACTGTGCCACCCAGGCTGATGAAGAACTACCATCTGGAGCTGTGCCAGTCATCCTGGCCGAGTGACACAGAAAGAGACGGTGAGCCACTCACTGGCTCCAAAGGCTTCTGCCCAGAAGTGACACACATCACTTCTACTGACGTTTTATCAGCCAGTCTTATAGCCACGCCAACTTCAAAGAACCTGGGAAAAGCAATCTAGAAAGAGAACTGGAAATATTTGGTAGGCCCTTATCTTTTAAGACATAATTCACATATCTTCAGTCATTCATTCAAATGGTTGAGTACCACGTAGCAGAGTGCGTAATAGCTCAGGTTTTGTAATCAGGCCTGAGATTGAATTCTAGCTCTGTCGGGCCCTTATCTTTTAAGACATAATTCACATATCTTCAGTCATTCATTCAAATGGTTGAGTACCACATAGCAGAGTGCGTAATAGCTCAGGTTTTGTAATCAGGCCTGAGATTGAATTCTAGCTCTGTCACTTATTATCTGTGTGAGCCTTGGAGAACCATTTTAACTTTCTAAGCTTCATTTTCCTTATTTATATTGTTTTATAGGCTTGTTTTGAGAATTAATAATATGTATGAAGAGCTTAGCATAGTGCCTGTCATAAACAGTAAATATAGGTAGCTTTAGATGAAAAGGTAGTGTCTCTACAGAGTTTCTCGTATCTATTCCATAGTTCCTTTCCTCTTCTCCCTACCACCCCAGGCAGAACTGACCATGCTCTTCCTGAGACCTCATTATGCCCAAAATGTATAACACCCTTGCTCTGATAAGTTCTCCCACCCTCCCTCTCTCTTTCCTGTCTTCCTCCCTCTTTTTGGTTACATTTATTTTTAACTATTTCCTCCTACTAGACTGCCACTTAAAGGAAGGGACCCTGTCCCATTTAGTTTTGTGTCTTCTGTACCTTGCACAGTATCTGGTACATAATGGGCACTTGATAAGGGTTTGCAGAATAAGTAAATGAATGAAAATGATAGACCAAGGGCTGTCAAATCACCATTTGGGCTGATCATCTAGTTACATTTATCATTAGAAAGGGGCAGTTGTATATAGATAATCCAAAATACCAGATGTTCTAAATAGTGTGTATGTGTTGTGTATGTTGCTTTGGCACACATTTAGATAATGTTTGACATCATTTAATCATTCATCTAACAAGTATTAATATTGTAGGCACTGAGGATGAAATGATATGTTCACTATGTTAAGGATAAAGTGAAAAGATGTGGTCGCATCCTCAGTGGGCTTACAGAGGAAGAATTAGAGCAGCAAACAAAAAAAAATTGTGTAAAAGGAATCACTACAGTTGTCTCAATTGAAACTGAAACTGTCCTTTATATAAGAAAGAACACCCAATATCAGTAAGATTGGAGGTATCAAGGAAGGCTTCCTACAAGAGGCTGCTAAACTGAGACCTGGTGGAGGAGTAGGAGTTAAGGAGAGTAGGAAGTATTCCAGGCAAGGGTTGACACTACTTCTGTCAGTAGAAGCCAGAGCCTGTGAGTCCTTTTAAGAGATTTAGACATTCTACGAGCCTTTGCAGGAAGTTTTAAGCTGAGAAGTGACACGATTAGATTTGTGTTTCTAAAAGCGCACTGGCAGCACTCGAAGTGAGACAAGGCTAGAGACAAAGATACCATTGAAATAATAGCTATTGCTTTTATCCAGACAAGAGATGAGAGTAGCCTAAATAGTGAGGTTACCAATCATACTTTATGTGAGGCATAATTATAACAGCAAGGAGAAGTAACAGGTTGCCAGAATGTGGTGTTCTAGGTGATGGCTGTTTTGGACATACATGGTCAAGAGCTGCCTAAATTTCCAAAAAGTAGAGTTGTCACTATAGTTCATAATAGGAAAATGGTCACTGGATCACACTGACCTGCATCTTAATTTTAAGGATGCTTTCTTTTACTTATGAACCCTGACATTTTAAAGGTTACTATTTCTCCCCATTCATCTTTATTTAATTAAGAGAACTCCTTTCTTAGGGAGTTAATACTCCTTGTAGTAAGTACCTTTTGATTTATTTGCTTTCCATATTAGTTATTACATGTATTTCTCTGGCTAGGTTATTTTTATAAGTTGCCATATTTTATACATTCTATATTCCTTTGTCTCCATCACCTGCTCCCTACCTAATTTAATACTGGGAACATATCAACCAATAAGTGATGGTCATTTTAGACTTTTGCATGTGATACCATATTTGGAAATGATATACATGTAGTCTTGCATTTTGAATCCTAAGTCAGTTTCTTCCCTTCCCTCAGTACAGCACCCTACCATGTCTTTCTTACAATCTCTCTGGCATAAACTTAGAAACCAAGCTGTAAAACTTTCTCTGCATTACAAGAGGAGTCATTGCAATAGCCCTTTAAATAGAAATTTTCCTAGTATATATAAATAATTGATCTGTACAATTGATTAGTTAAAGCAACATAATCATTCTATATAACTTTCTTAAAATGGTAAGGCCTGACCTGGCTATCTTTCAAAAACTTTTTTTTTATAAGTAATAGACTTTATTTTTATAGCAATTTTGGGTTTATAGAAAAATTGAGCAGGAAGTACAGCCGGTGCACATACCCCCTACACACAAACACACAGCTTCTCCATTATTAACACCTTACATTAGTGTGATACATTTTGTTTCACTTGTAAACCAACTTGGTACATTATTGTTAACTAAAATGTACATTAGGGTTTCTTCTTTGTGTCGTCTAATTCTGTGGGTTTTGCTAAATGCATAATGTCACGTATTCACCATTACAGTATCATATGGAATAATTTTACTGCCCTGAAAATCCCCTGCACTCCACCTGTTTATTCCTTCTTCTTTTCTCCTTTCTTGAAACCCTGGCAGCCTCTGATCTTTTTTTTTCCCATTACCTCAAACATTTGTCATTTCTCAGAAACTCTTCTTTAATTCCTTTTGCTAGTCTCTACTTGTATACAAGAACACAAAACATTTTTAATGAAAATTTAAGCTTTAAACTATCAAGAGCTAGATAATCTTTTTGGTTTCCTTCAGAACCTAATATTGCAGAAAGCTAAAAAGTCAAGAAGTTAAGGTGGGGAAGAAAAAACTGTCTCATCAATGATCAGATCGTTATTCTTATCTTATAATTCTAACCCTATCAAGGACTTCCTGTCTGGTTTTTGAGAGTGGTTTCAGTTATGTGTATGTCAGTGGCTAAATAAGTTAATGATTAGAAAAACTGCAGTGAGAGCTGATTTGCACAGTTTAACTACACCAAGATCACTAAATTTGGGGGGGGGGGGTTTGCAATGCTTGCCACCACTGACTCCTTCATTTAAGTTCATTTGCTTAATAACTGAATTGGACACAATATACCACATGTTGACTCCACCTATGAACTTGTCTTTTTCAGTCAGTTAAAAAAAGGAACCTGCCTTCGGTTTGCTGGAAGTGGAAATGAAGAGAATCGAAACAACGCATATCCTCACAAGGCAGGTTTTGCCCAACCTTCAGGCCTTTCTCTGGCCTCTGAAGATCCCTGGAGCTGCCTGTTTGTAGCCGACAGTGAGAGCAGTACAGTGAGAACTGTCTCGCTGACAGATGGGGCAGTGAAGCACCTCGTAGGAGGAGAAAGAGATCCCATGGTAATGGAAGTCACTTTGGCACAGTGTGCTCAGACACTGACCAAGCTGCCAATTCCTTGAATTGAGGAGAGTTAATAAAATTTAGGAGAGATCATCCCTGGCTTATCCATGAGTTAAACCGGAAGTCCAACCATAAGAAATGTGAATATGAAGAAACACAAGTAACAAAGCCATCTAAAAAAAACAACCTGGCTCTACCTGATTATATATAGATGTTAAGGCTTCCAGGAGAAGGAAAGGATAAAAATACAGATTACTAGAGAGAAGAAAAAAATGCAAGTTAGATATTGGTAGTGGGATAGAAACAGCACCAGACTCACAGACTTGACCTGTTTTTAACCATATATCTGACTATTGTGAGTAAAAGTACCACAAATTAACTCAAAATTCTGTGTTTTTCTAGTCTGGATCAACTACCCAGTCCTATTTATATGAAAATTAGACCTTTTCCCCTTTTAATGTAAATAGCAAATTCAGCTATCTTAATATTCACTGTATATTCTATAAAAGATCTGTAAAAGTTTTAATAATTGCTGCTTTTTTCTTTTTTT